GTGCTTGGAAGGTCAGTCAGCAAAAATGCTCAAACTGAAACGCAGAATCTTCTCGTAAAATATAAAAGAATTGACCAAAGATTGAAAGTCGAAGTCTTTCCCAGAATGAGAGCAGACAAAATATCTCGTGAGGCAAAAAATTATTATCTTATTTGTGCCTATGGTGCTAGATATTTGAAAACCCATAGAGAAAAGCATTTTATTAATGTAATGAGTAGAAACATGAGAGAGCTTTCCAGAATATTACTAGAATTGAAAAAACTAGAGCCAACAATACACAATCTGTTTGATGGCCTGAAACCGAAGCACTATGACCAACTAGTTGAAGCTACAAAATCAGTAGCAAACTACGATACTGTTAATGACACATTTGATTCTCCCACATTTGCCATGAATATAAGTACCGCACTGAAACAGTGTTGTGACATTGCAATACACATGGTTATAAAAAATGAATCATCAGTTGAAACAGCTAGCCTCAAAACGATGATTAATTTACTTCAATCGAATTGGAGATTTGATGTCTCTGGCCGCGCTGGCAATGATTTGAACTTGATAAAATTCAATAAAGCGACTATTGTGCCATTAGCAACAGACCTTAGGCTTTTAAAAAACTACTTGTTGTTGAAAGCAGGAGAGGCAGTGAACAGGTTGGCTAGAAATGCTGCTGATGCGAACGCTTACAATACTCTGTTGGAGACAGTATATTTCAGGGTAATACTACTGAATAGAAAAAGACCAGGTGAACTGCAAAGGATGTTTCTTCGCACTTATGAGAGTTCTGAAATTAAAAGTGGCGAATATGAAGAATTTGAAGAAGTCATAACCGAGGTGGAAAAACTACTGATAAAAATCTGAAAAGAGTTGTGATACGAGGTAAAAGAGGCCGTGGCGTACCGGTATTGTTCAGCAACGATGTACAGCTTCATGTCAAAGAATTACTAAAAGTGGGGAATGATTTTGTCCCAAAAGAAAATCCTTACTTTTTTGGCAAACCACGGCTCACCGGGCCAATTCAGGGATATAAAGTAATGGCAAAATATGCTCATGCTTGTGAAGTAAAAAATCCTCAAGCAATTACTTGTACCAGGCTTAGAAAACACCTTGCAACATTGAGTAAACTATTTAGTTTAAACGAAAATGAAATCGAACAGTTGTCCAATTTCATGGGACATACACCTGGGGTACATAAAGACGCATATAGGCTACCCGACGATTTGTACCAGACCGCGAAAATTTCAAAATTGCTAATTCTGATGGAAAATGGAGAAGCTGGTGAAAATAAAGAAAAAGGATTAGAGGAAATAACAGTGGACTTAGAAGAAGATCTATTAGAGGAGAACGGGTGTGATGACGAGGATGGAGAAAATATGGAAAAGGAAGAAGAGGATCAGGAAAAAAGAAAGAAATAAGATAAATGTTATCTAATAAAACAGTAGTGTCAGAGCAAAAAGGAAAGAAAACGGAATTACCTGTAGCTGTCAATAAGAAAAAGCGTATTCTTACACCATGGCCTAGTGAACAGAAGGAAGCAGTAACATTCTTCTTTAATAAGAACATAAAGATGAAAAAATCTCCAAAAAGAAAGGACTGTGAAGAAATTAAAAGTTTATACCCGAGTTGCTAGCCAATAAAGACTGGCTAAAGATTAAAGTTTTTATACAAAATGTGTATTCAAAAAAAAAGCAAATAAGTTGTAAAATTTGAATGTGAATGAAAATAAAGAAATCAAGCTCACTTGAGTTTATTTATTTTGACCGCTAGTTGTGCCTAGACTGCTATCAGAGGGTATCATCAGTAAATGTGTGTATTTCTTGTCATAGTTTATGGAAATATTTATTATAAACGTTCATACCACCTTGCGTTGCACTGCTATTTGATAACTTTTTCTTTTACTTCTTTTTTCTCCTGGTCCTCTTTTTCATCCTCCCCCTTTTCGACATGCTCATTATCAGATATGTTCTGCCCCAAAAGAGCTTGTACTAAATTCACTGTTATTTCTTCTAATTATTTTCCTTTGTTTCCGTTAGCTTATCCCTTGTCCATCAGAATTAGCAATTCAGACATTGATGCATAGGGGCTGCGATTTACATCTCCATCTACCCCTAGTATATGCCCCATAAAATTGGACATCTCTCAGATTTCACTTCCGTTAAATTAAATAGTTGACTCAATTTTGATAATAATAATAAACGTCTTTATTATTTAGATTCTGTACAACTGGCGAATTCATGATACGAGTTGTTTTATAAGCCTGGTATAAGTTTGCTTCACAATTGATAGGTGTTTTGCAATTACTTCCAAAATACCGGGAGACCCGTTAGAAATTCATTGGCAGCTCTCCCCCTTTTTTCAGTTCAAAAGTATTCCACTACGAGATATTGTAAGCATTAACATTATAAGCATGTTTAGCCGATATGTTGAGGTGTGCGGCTAGTGGCACAATGGTTATCATATTATTTTCTTCCAAATCTATGTTACCATTACTGCGGCTATATCGTCAAATCTCCACATTGACTGTAATAAGGTATTCATTGTCTTGGGCCTAGGTTGATACAAAGTTGTAGACTGATGGCTCATTTCATATAACTTCATGTAACTGAGTGTCAAATGTGCCTCTACCGATTTTCTTATAAATTTCGGTTTGATTTTACTTCTTTCAGTATTATTTATACATTCTTCACGTTGGTAGCGCCTTTCTCTGTGAGATATAATCTAAATAATCTTTTTCTTCAAGAAATATTGTGTCTAAAAAGTCATAGTACAATTTGACATATAATAATATCTATTTACCAATAACTTACATGTCATAGATACAAACCAAGTTAACAATTAAGCTGAACTGGAAGATGGTAAATTTCGCAACACTGTCGGAAGCAAATTAACCATTGCTACGTTAAATATACAACTTATGGAACCGAAATAGTTCTACTTACGTACAGATTTATACTGATGGTAGTAATTTAGATTGTCATATAGAGGGAATCAAAATATTTAATTCGCGAAAAAAGTGTATACAGTGTATATTGGTGCCTTCATAATACGAACAATAAAAAGTATATCGGTATAAGCAGAATTCAATGAGGAACCTATATACACATCAAAATGTATGCTAGCGCAATTCCTAACGGTGGACGCAGAATGCTTTGTCTTTGAAAGGAAGCAGTATGGTCTTAAGATGTAAATATATATATATATAACTTGAGACGTGGTCATTGTCGTCTAAACCAGTTAGGTGAAAAATTAAAGCTTCCGCCTTTTGTTGGGTACTTCGACAAAATTTAAGCAAAGAGGACTCTTTATACTTTTTTTTAATTCTCTCTAGCTTGGAGTGACTTTAATTTTTCGCGTCACCGATTCATACAAAGATAATACTTTATTTTAAAAAAAAAAAACTGATCGAAATTAAAATCGATGAGAATGCAGAAGCGACGCAGCATGTGTTAAAGCTTAGAGAGCGCGTAGCAGCCCTATCTGAGCCAACCATGGTGGAAATCGTCGAGGAAGCAATACAATCGAATTCCGAAAGTAGCACATCTACTTCCGCAACTTACTCTGACGACACCGTACAAGACCGACTTGAAATGGAACAACCGCGACTTAAACATCTATGCGAGTTTGAGATTGATGGAGACAAATTTATGCTCCGATATTTCACACAGTGCAAGAAATGCGGGATTGGGAAATGAAGATAGCCTAACATGAACGTCGTGTACAAAGTGTTATGGATAAAATGCGGTTAGTGTTGCCCGGATATGACCTCGAAGAAAGAGGAAGAAAGATCTTTAAGCGCCTGGAAACATGGATGCCTAAGCAAACCAAAGATTGATCCAAGCTAGATATACTTAGAAGGACTATATTTGTCTCTATCATGGAGGCTAATATTGAATCCGAACTTGGTAGTTTCTGCTTAAAGTTCGAAAAAGTTAAAGCCCATTTAGATGGGCCAACTGACGGTTTCTGGATACACCCACCAGATGACAAGCAGCTGATAACAGCACTAGAAAGACTTGGAACCAATAGGATGATACTCAGCCGACGGTTTAAATTTAACAGCACGCAAACTAATAATCTTGTGAAGATTATCAAATCTAATGGACCCTGTGTACAGGGACCCAGGTTTAGTGCTTGACATCGTTGTGTCAGAAGCGCATTTAACGCAGGAGGAGATACTACATATAGTCTTCCCTAGCGATAAGCCAAAACATAACCAATGCATATATTGACGTAAATTTGTCGTCTATATTGTACCATACCAGATGCAAAGTGGTTGAGTGGCTGACAACACATGCACGATTCGTGTATGATGAAATGGAGCAGGTATTAAGACCAAAAGACTTCAGTACGCTAACAAAAGTACAACTACGCAATCAACGTGAAGCAGAAATCGTCGGAAGCTATCCCTGGAGGGTGGCTCATGGACTGACGCCGCCGCGTAAGATGTAGCGAACGTACTAATTAATGACTGTTGCCTTGCATAGACGCCCACTTCATTGTGGTTATATATATATATATATATATATATATATATATATATGCAGAAGAGTGAACAGGATGTATATATATATATGACGTGTATATATATATATATATGCATATATATACATATATACATATATATATATATATATATATACTATATATATACTTTTTGACCAGAGTCGAGGACATCTCAGCCGCTCCTGACAAAGAAGACCTACAGATAAGTTTAATATTTAGGCGCAAAATATCTGTATATACTTCGGGCGTAAACCATGGTAGACGTTTCGCGGGGTTATCTCGAAAAATAATTTTGTTAGGTTGTATTTAAGATTTATAACATCCATTCTTTTTTTTATTACTCGCTCTCCAGTAGTAGAGTACATGTGCGTTTTTTATTAATCAATATATTGTGATTCATTTAATACCTTGTTTTATTTGGCTCTTTCTGTGTGTACTGTTACTTAAATTTCGTCATCTCTGTTAGATTCTCCTTTTGTGTGGTGGTCAAGCAAAACAAG